AGTTATATGTCCATAGGCGCTATATATAAAGTAGAGTCCTTTTTATTAGTATTAATCCTTCTTCTACTCTAATAGAGTCGCACGCGATAATATATTAATCTCTATTATATCTAGGTTAAGCTACTGTCTTAGAGTCGTGACCTTATAGGTATAGTTTAATTAGTGGGTTAGGTAGGTCTCCTATAGTATCTTAATCTATTCCATTATTACCTATATCATTAGGGTTGGGTCTGCTGAACTAGTCATGTTGGTTGGTTGGTGTGATCTAACGTAATGTCACGAGAGCAATGAGTAAGATGTCTAAGGCCTAGGTAGGCTAGATTAATATACTATATTTGGTATCTACGTATAGGTACAAGACGTTGGATAAGGAGAAAAGGTCCTCTCCCCCCTATCCAGCGTGGATCTATCTTCTCGCTTCGTCACACGCCCTCGCCAAGGGTGGCTAGCGCCATGCTTTGACCAATTAGCTAGCAGACGGGCCACCCATCTAATAATCTATTGACTGGCTACCAGCGCGCGACATCTCTAAGATATACTACTGCCAGCAGTATATCCATGCTTGTCAGGTAGCCTCTAAGGTTACCGTGACACTCAAGTTCCTATATACTTGGTCTGCTCAGTTACTTAGTTAAGCTGAGCGACTAAGTAGTTACGTAACCTGCTTAGTTGCTCAGTCGGCTGAGCAGCTGATCACGTCACGTGATTACCTTGGCCCTAGTGGCTCGGCGTCCGTTGTGACCTTAATCCCGGCCTTTCGTCTGTCTTAAGCGCCCATCCCCCTATCTCTTATTCTACTTCGTAATAGAGGTGCGTAGCTCTCTTCGTTACGCAGCTCGCTTAGCATCTACGTCAAGCCTAAACTTTAATATCTTGTAGTATATAGGGCATAGAAGAAATATAATTAAAGGGGTTAAAATTAAGCTATATTCGTATATTCCAATAACTCCGGAGGAGATTGAGTACCTCAGGTAGGACGATCGTAGTATCCTGTTTGAAAAACAAGTCTCCGGTGTCTAAATCGTCAACCATCTCATGATTATCGTCTAGGTCAATGATAGCGATGGAAGCTCCATCCGCTTGTGCTCTGTGTACCCACTCTGCAGCCGGATGTACTTTCAAGCTTGTTCCGGCAGCGATTACCAGGTCAATTCCGTCTTCCAATAACGACTCGATGTTGTCTGGTGCTCCAGCAGCTAGCCTCTCGCCGAACCAGACAACTCCAGGCCGCAGTAGCTTAGTACATGCAGGACAGTGGGGAAGGTCAGATAGCGTGAATTGCGATCGGTTACTGGCGGTAGACAGCGATGCGAGAAATGGGAGGTCTTCCATTGTCCGGACGTAGATGTTATAATCGCATACGGTACAACGAACAAGCTGTAGGAAACCGTGAATGCTTAAGAGCCTTGATACAGGATGACTGGTACGCTCAAGAAGCCCTATTATGATTTAGTGCATGGAAAATCTTCACTTTCATAAGGATTCCCGTACCATCAACATTTTGATTCACAGTCAGCCATCCATCATGCCAGCTAGCGAGGGCCGCCAGTGCATGATGCGCTGCGTTTGGCTGCGCTGCCAATGACTCAAGTAAACGCTCACCATAAAAGCTCCATACAGTGACTGGGTCTTCTGCAAATCTTTTCGGAGAGGCAAGGCTTCTAATGTCCTCGTCGTTCCAAAGCCCATTCGTTCCACGCCAGGTGGCTAAACCAGACGGTGCGCTGAGCCCCGCACCAACAATGCATACAATGCGTGGAGACTTTCTCAGCAATCCTGCCAGGCGAGCAAAATCATCGTTATCTTCGGCTTCAGACATGCGAAAACCAACTTAGAAGGTTGAGGGAGGAGATATACGACACGTGTATTGACCGTGCAGGCTGAGTTGGGGCACGGCGGTGACTTCTACGCATATATTTCGCAGAAGGGCACCTGAAAGTATTGCACTATTCTTGGAGCGTACCCTGCATCTCGATAGTGCCATATTAACTGCTCGAGCGCGTACTGACGCGGAAGCGGGATGGGCGGCTACGCCACTTCGAGTAAGCTTGTGAGCTATCTGTCGGCTAGTTACATACCAAGGGCGCGTCGAGTATTGACTCTAGCCGCCGAGGCGCAGACAGGCAGCAACAAATTGACGATTTGCTTTCCCTTAAGGTTAGCATGTTTTGCAGTCGGGTATATCATGCTATGCAGCATCCTTTTGGAGAGACAAAGGTCAGAATTCAACCCATGCAAAACGCGCAATTCGGAGTGAATCATTATGTCCGCCTCATCAAGTATTAAACACACCGTTACACCCAACGGAGATGGAAACATCGCGGCATTCCGAGACTCTCAATCCATGTTCTACACGCTACGCGTGTGCATCCATACAACTGGGAGACAGCCAAATGGAATGAGCGACAATCACGTATCCGTGTTTCTCTTACTTGGAGAGAATGAAGGCTCCGTTCGACTGAATATGACGACCGAAGAGGGTGATCGGTCAGGGGTCCTTGTCTGGTCACAAGAGGTTTATCAGCTCTCAAACTCTCAGATCACGCATTTTGATTATCGACTGCGCTATACTATGCAAGTCGGTGCACTTTATGCTTGGATCCGTTCATGGGGTTTGCAAAGATATGTGTTCTCTGGCGGTGGCTCCGGCTGCCGTTTCTGGGTGTGAGTTGCATCTGGTACACAAGAATTCCTATTAATGTCTAACAGGTACACTTTACTATTGAAGTTGAAAGAAATACAGTATTTGGATGATGGATTACCCGAGGACGCCTGGCACAAGCTATCGTGGCAATATTCCCGCGAAGCAGCACCAAGAGTAATCGAAATCAAACAAGGCACATGGCTTTCCCTGAAGGAATGGGAAGACGAATGGGAGTAAACAGGTGCCTAGCAACCTAAGCCTCACCCAGCAATTTGATGTCCATCTACTGCATGAGAGCTGATGAGACGCCAGCAGGCGGTCCACCGCAGGTAGTACATGGCCTGCTCTCAGACTTCTTCTTTCTTCCAAGGACTGTGGGTAGACTGGAGAGGCTCAGAATAATACTTGATGGGGTTTATATCTACTCACTAAGCGTATTTTTCGCCTAGATAGTAAGCATGCTCGAGCAAATCTGCTTGCACCGACTCCTCCTGATCCATGTGACATGCTTCCAGAATCTTACTGGTCGGGCAGTTGATGCGAAGTGTGCATATTTCGAAGAATCTCGGATAAAAACCAGCAGAAGCCCAATCGAGGAGACACAAGGACCCATCTTTGAGTTGAAGAACATTTCGAGGTACAAGATCAAGATGGCATAAACTCAGCGGAAAACTCTGCAGGCTGAGTTTTCTGTGCCGCTGGAGTTGTCTCGTGTTATAGTAATCCTCGATATCGACGATACTTGACGGCGAAATTGAGTCGCATGCTGTCCACAGGATGCCACGAGCAGGCCCTGCGCCTAGCGGACCAGGCTGATCACTCCGAATGTATGCGAAATGGTCGAGCACTGCGGCGATAGCAGTGCAGATGTTTGGATCGTCGAAGACATGTAACGGCTCTCCGTCAATAAATTCCATAACAAGATAACCAATGTTCGACCACGCGACGTAACGATACACGCGAGGAACTCGGATTATCGTCTGGTCAATGAGGTGGAATGCCTTTTCCTGATTGTCTGCTTCCTGCTGTGTAACGCCAACCCCGCACTTTATGACAACGTCGTTTGAAACCTTGATAATCGAAAGTCCGCCATCAAGCTCGGAGATGATCATTCGGGTCGGATTGAGGCGGGAACAGAATCGCGTGAAATCCTCCTCCGATGCGGTTCTGTAATCGAATGCCATCGCTAGACAAGCGCGACCGAGTTGACCTGGATTTGGTTGGTTGGGTGTTACGCCGTTGTATATGAATCTATGTTGCTAAACTCTAGCGTCTGTGCACAAGGCAATTCTACCTTACAATCTGGAGGAGAACAATCTCAGCGTGAACCATCGGGCCCGGAACATCTATTGAGCCGGTTTGTCGTGCCGAGGTCGTCCCGGCTAGCCTTACAGTGAGCGCACTCTAGGCATTTACTTCACAAATACATGTATAATAATCTAAATCCCCACATCCATGTAATCAGATTCCATCGAGTGCTCTGACCAAAACTCGTAACACAATTAGTACTTCAGCTTTCACCAATGATTCTTTGTCCTACTCTAGATCGCTCCCTTCAGTTCGGCCGCTATAATTATCGTTGACAATTATAGATAATTATAATTATATAATTTAGTACTTAGTAACTAAGGGATCAATTTTCCCTTAGTAATAGGGATGCATCTACGCTTGTTTTAGTTCATCCATATTCAAGTCTGAGAATGCAGCACCGCTGATATGGACCCTATCGAATTGTAGGTGGATAAATAATTGCCACGGAATTTGCTGGCACAATATATCACCTGACTAAGAATCCCACCGAATATGAGAGGCAATTAGAAGAGATTCGTCAGGCATTCGCATCGGAATCAGAGATAATTTGGGCCCCATAATAGCGATTTCCCTATCTGCAAGCGGTACTGAGGAAGGACTCCGCATATACCCATCGGGTACGCTCGTATTTTCGTCAAAGTCTCCTGGCATCCGCGTGGGCGGTAACTAGGTACGGTAACGGGTCAGTCCGCTTCTCTCTATAATGTACCGTAGCGCGTTACCCATATCCACTTTGAAATCTACACCAGTTCTCGGATCCCACGGCACGATCCGCAGTATTTCCATGATCCCGACTCATTTATTCCAGAGCTATGGATTGATCCCGAATGTACTGATATGAAAGAGGCTAGCCAGCCGTTGTCGTTGGGACCGCGTGTTTGTCTAGGACGAAAGTAGGTGTTTATTCGCTTGTTCAATGTCCCGTATCTGGAGATGAATCTCATTCTAGGAAAAATTCTCTGGCGTTACGAAATTGAGTTGTTCAACCAGGAGGTCAATTTGCCTAGCTAAAGCTGCATGCATGTCATGTGGTAGAAGCCGCCTATGTACATACGATTCCTCCCGAGAAGGCCATGACTCGGTACGATCACGGCAGGATTGGATAGTAGTGTTGTCCCCACCGAATTTGCGCGCACCATGTTCGCATTTCTCGTACACACATCCATTTGGCTTCAACAGTATGCATATACGCTACAATGACTGACTTAACTAAGGAAATATTACTGTTACATGATTTTCGTTAGTACACATGGATGTTCAATGACACATTCGCGGGGTATCTTGAAGCCTGTTCAGTCAGTTTTTGTAGATCTGGCTTAAAGTCTATATAGATTTCGGCTGACTCGGCTGCGGTTCCTCTCGGAACGTTAACCATGGGAATAACGTAATATACAGCTAAATCCCTACGTCCAATTCCCTTGCTTAGAATCCTCCGCATCTTGCATGTGAGTGGATAGCTATAATCTACGCTTGTGCGAGGTGCTCCAGAGTACATTTCCGCATTATTGCCATTGTCACCCAGGTTCCCACTGCAAAGAGAACCACTGGGTAGGCGCGCAGAAAGCTGGGGTTAAAACCGCCTTTAACTAAACATGAAATGCAGAATCGCGATGCGTAGGCTCACGCGCACAACCCTAATAAATTCGAGTACGGCGACGATCTCTCTTTAAAATTCAACTTCAGGACCTATGTATTTACAGATGAAATGCCTGCTCGTATTGGTGAGCAACGGGACATGCAGCGGGCATGGTTTCGGCCAGAAGAGAAGTACGATAATGACGTCAAACATGACCACGTGCAGAAGTATTGCAAGCTTAAGGGCCTGTTCGGTAGGAGCGTATTTTTGAGCGTATTTTGGCGGATTAGGGAAAGTCGATTGACGCGTGTCGGTGGGCCACTAGGCAGGGATCCTGACGCTGCCTGACGTAGGTAAAATACGGAGCTGTTTGGTGTATCGAATATTTACTCGTTCCGAATGGTGGGGTGGTAGTCACCGTAATCGGAAATCCAATTATTGACACCTACACCCATGGACTCTTAGCCTGACTTTATCGATTGGTCACTAAGCCCATCTCGAACGCCTAGCGGCGGACGACGACGATTGTTTCTATGGACTTTAGAGATGCTAGAGGCTCTCCTCTAGGCCCTAGTGGAGCAGGTGGAGGGCGGCCAGCGAGCGGATTCTGGATATAAGGCGTTAGCGTGGGACGCTGTGATAAAGGAGGTCAACTTAATCGCCCCGTTAGGCCTTAGAGTAATAGTAAAACAGTATAAATTAAAGCATAATAACTATAAGATGGAGTAGTGTACCTAGTAGGAGCTAAATAACCTCTCTAGATTTAGTATTAAGGATGGATATGTTATTACTAAAGGCTAAGCACTTAAGGAATATTTTTCGGCCCACCTAGAGGCTCTTAAGTTTCGTATAAGGCCTCTACCATTAGATGACCTACACCGACGCCTATTTAAAGGCACCCTTATAACAGGCAATAACGCTATAAATATTAATAATATTTTAGGACCTATAGCTTCTATA